TTTATTTTATTTGTGTCTTTACTATATTTTATTTATTTGTGCTGTTGCTTCTAGTTAGATAGATTATTCTTATTTTCTTTATTTTTATTTAACAGTATAGTTTAGTTTCCTAAACATAGCACCATCGATATGGGGGGAACCATACCGAAACCGTGACTCTAAAACCGTGATACAAACCGTACCGTGAGTAAGTTGAACCGTTCCACCCCTAGTCCGAAACCTAGTGATCTGCCTACCTAGACTGTTTAGTTCTAAAATTCTGACCCAAAGACGCTGCTTCATAAGGCGTCACGGGCTAGGAACCTATCGGTCATGGCAGAGGCGCTCGCGCACGGTGCAGATGTCAACTCCGTCAGTGAGGAGGATGAAAGCAAGAGTCCATTAATACAAGCCGTCGCAGGGGTGAGACTTCCTACACCGAACAAAATTTGGTGTAGGATTTACTTTGAAACCATTTTCCATTAAATTGCTTAAAAATAAACGAGAAATTTGGAAGCAGAAAGACTGAAATACTATTTTCTTATAAAACATACTCTGTTTTAATTTAATCTTTTTTTTGCAGTGTATACTTCATGTACTGCTAGTAGAGTAAATTTACGGTGTTTACTTTATTCAGTGTTTCTAGTAGGGCTGTCAAAAAAAAATTTTGAATTTCGAATGTTAAAATAAAAATCCATATTCGAATGCAAAAACGTTGCATTCGAATTTTAGGTGTGCGCTAAGGAGGCAGCTTTATCAGTGGCGCACGAGATGCGATGACGATGTAAGTGTCGTTGCATTTTAATGTTTTTGTTAGCCTATCCAGTTGAAGCCACTAGATGCGGCGCTGCTGCGTTGTTAATTACAAATATTGCGGGGAAAAAGGAACATAAATGTGGAGAAGATCTTCTTTACGTCAAAACTGAAACCAAGCCGTTCACACAGAACACATATTTCACGCATTTTCTAGAGGAACATCTATCACCGTTGCACTCGCATCTCACACAAAAGAGCCGCATGTTTAGAAAGCCAAGTAAAATTAATGCAAGTTCAACTTTGAAAAAACATATATTGAGACTTTATGGCAGGTTTTTTTCAACCGTGAGTAAGTTGAACCGTTCCACCCCTAGTCCGAAACCTAGTGATCTGCCTACCTAGACTGTTTAGTTCTAAAATTCATTGCCAAACAGCAGGGAGTAAAACTCACTGCCACAATTCTAAGGGATTGCTAGAATATTAATATGCAGCTGTTGAGGCACCTTTATACTTCAAGTGGAATCAAAGAACGAACTGGTGTGATGTAATTTCCAACAAAATCAGGCCAGACTCATTTTTTTGGAGTTGGTTTTGGGTGTTCGAAACAGCTTTCCAAAGAGAACCTTCTGGAAAAGTTCTGGCTGGTAAACACCTTTGATTTACCATTGCTCTTTGGCGATTACTGGGGCTCCACCTACTTTGATGTGGAATCTTATATGGTTCATTTCTTCTGTTCAGTTCGTCGAGGTCAGATGCGAGTAAAAACATGAACACACTGGAGAGCTGCAGTATAGTAGAAATTTAAGTTGTAATTCTAATCAACTTTTTCTTGTTTGATACTGTAAAGCTGCTTTAAAGCAATCTGTTGTAAAATAGTACCAGATAAACAAACATGACTTGACTTGACCGGATTGCCAAAGTCCTGCAGACAGACACTGCTGTTTTCTCACCCCTGTCATTTTTGTTTTGTGTTTATTTTGTTATTGAGAGAAAAGTGTACAGCTCATATTCACATATTCATCTAAATGCTGCTCCCAGCAGCGTGGAAGGCATTGCTAACAGTATAGCACTGCTCAGGTGTTTCAAACGTCTTTTTAACCCTAAACAAAGAACTTTTACAGACCCTTTAGGGTGTTTAGGTTGTTAGGTAATTGGATGGTTGCTAGGGTGTTTTTGCTAGCTGCTAGATGGTTGCTAACTGATCCATGTGAAAACATTTCACCTTCTTTGAGATAAGACTTAGGTCTCTGTTTCAATGTAAAAGCATAGCACATTAGCGAAATTTCAACTTTCAACTTCATTTAAATGGACTGTTTCACCCAAAATTTGTGTGAGGGATTGTTTGTTTACGAGAGTGCCGGGTTGTTAGCTTAGCCACATGCTAACATCAAACTGTATCGTCAATCTGTGAGGCAAATTTGTCCAAACCTCAGTAATTTGCAGATCTACCTCTGAATAACTCATCATTTAACCCTTTGTGTACTGCATGCGTGTGCCCACAGACAGGTGTGTTTGTTCCTGAAGCGAGGAGCCTCTCAGATGGAGGTCGATGAGGACGGGCAGGACCCTCTCAGTATCGCTGTTCAGGCAGCCAACGCAGACATCGTCACATTGTGAGTCAGGAACTTCACTTCCCTTTGTAGATTCTCCCCGAGTGTCACTGCACATGAAACAATGCTTGTGTTCTCTCTCTCGGTCAGATTGCGGTTAGCCCGGATGAATGAGGAGATGCGAGAAGCGGACGGGCCCTTCGGACAGCCAGGTCAATACCCCAGCAGCAGTCCCACAGAGCAGCAGTACAGAAAGTGTATTCAGGAGTTTATCTGCCTCTCGATTGACGAATGCTAGGGAGCGCTGTTGAGTGCTGACACACTGTGGGTAGAACTACCTAAGTTTGTAGCCATTAGCAGGAATAGCTTTAGCAAGGATCGAGTGCTATCTTCAACCGCATTTTAAATTCGAATATAATTCGAATTTTTATAATATTTAAGTACATTTGAATTTCGTTTTTCAGCCATTTTGACAGCCCTAGTTTCTACTAATGTTTGATATCTCTCGTCTCTCTCATAGGGCTCTCTGATAGCCTGTGAGTTCCTGCTGCAGAATGGAGCAGATGTCAATCAGAGGGACATACGAGGACGGGCACCTCTGCACCACGCCACGTGCCTGGGTCACACGGGGTAAGAAATGACTCACAGCTGTGGCAAACCACACATAAAAGTTCTGGTCCGAAATAGGTGTGGAAACAGCAGTAGTCCCACAGAGCAGCAGTATAGAAAGTGTATTCAGGAGTTTATCTGCCTCTCGATTGACGAATGCTAGGGGGCGCTGTTGAGTGCTGACACACTGTGGGTAGAACTATCTTAAGTTTGTAGCCCTTAGCAGGAATAGCTTTAGCAAGGATCGAGTGCTATCTTCAACCTCCTCCCCACCTGACCGATTAGTTTACACATTGTGTTCGTATGTATGTATGTGGTTAACACAAAATATTGAAATGGAACGGCTATTTACAGTATGCGACGGCTAGAGCGCTGTTTTGAATTGTGTATCATTCAAACGCGACGTTAATCATGATCAATTGATGGATTAACAGCCTAATCGAATTTGTTTCGAATGAATTCGAATTCATTAGCAATTCAAAACAGCATTTCACAGTGTTATTGAGTCATTATGTGTAAAATATGACTGTGCGCACTTTTCCTACCGACAGTATTTGTTTTGTTTTGTTTTTTTTACAACTGAATTCTTGTAAATGTTGTTTGTTGTGTTTTTAATTTATGTTCCGTCCTGAGGATTAGTGCAATGATAACTGGAATACGGAAAAACCGTATCCATGTAAATTTTCTCGTTTAGTAAAGAAAGAAGGCATTTACGTTTGACTAACTAGACTTTTTTTGTTTGTCTTTTACATTTCAAAAACACATCGGACTCCCCTCATATGCTAATAAAACGGGTGTTTTGGCCCCTTTAAGAGATGTCAGCTATTCTAAGTTATTTATAGAACTTATAGCAACCGTCTGTTTTATATATTTGTACTTGTATTGCCAAGCTCCCAAATGACTGTCATATGATTTCTTTAAGTGAAATGCTTGTCTATCGCAGTCTGTCTGTAGAAGCAGTCAGCATTTGCATGCGTTTACTCGCTCGCATACCAAGGCAAAGTGCCTGTCTGCATTAGCAAGCATGGTTCCTTATTTTAGCCACCTGATTCTGTCATTATGTAAAAATGCATGACCACAGAAGACATCTGCGCCGTGTTTTTTGCCCACGTTTGGTTCAGATGATCCCAGTTCTAAGAGTACGCCATCAGAATCCTGTCTCTCTTTCTAATGCCTGAAAAAAATGCATCCGAATATGTCTACTTCCATACTATATAGTAGGTGAAAAACCGTATGAGATCTGAGTAGTATATATTCATAGCATTAATAAAACAGTCGAAAAGTTGACCTACTAGCGGGATAATTGCAAGATTCTGAAGTGCGCATCTGATGGACACTTTACTATCCCATGAGGCCAGTGAAGTGACACAACTGACACTGTAGGTCACATAACGCGGATGTAGTACGTATTACACACATTCATACTTTTTTAACAGTCACGAAGCAAGTTGCAAACCAAATTTAGTACTACAGTGTTCGATTTTGGATACCGCACTTTTCTTAAGCAGTTAGCACTATGCTAAGTAGGCTAAGCTGTTAGCTTTCCAAGTATAGGCTAACAGAAATAAAGAATATGACCATTTTTACTTCAGTAATTAAATATAAAAATTAGAAGACATTCATTAACATTTTAATGATTAAGACTACAAAGGATTTCTAATCGGGCAATGAATATAGTACCCATAACAAATTGTCTCAGCTAAAGGAATAACTTTGGGGAGTAAGGGGGATAGGATTCTGTGTGACACCGCCATCTGTGGGTGGAATTTTGCAAGTAAAGGTGAAATATGTAAAAATAATAATAATAATATTGGCCGTTTCAAACCAAACACGTCTGCAATTGGTCAACAAATAAATAGTCCCGCCCCCACACTTATGCTATTGGTTGAGCCACTGTTGCTATGTCAGGCAGGTCGGATGCTCAAACAGAGCAATGTTTCATAGATTGATCGAGTGTTTATGCTTTTCGGGGGATTCAACCTACAAATGGTTTACTTAGTTTCTTCATATTAAGCTGACATAGAAAAATATTCAAACATTGAAAACAAAACTACACACTTCACCTTTAAACAGGTAGGCTACAAAGCAAAGAATAGCTTTTCAGTGCAAATTTTCATCTCAATCAAAATGTGCTTGGAGAAAGGAAAATGTAATTGTACATCTTCAGTTGTTGTTTTACAGAAACATTCGGTCAGCTGAAATTTAGCTTTTAATATCTGAAAATAGAGACAGTGTATAGAATAGATAGTCGCCAACGAGGGACCAGTTCAGTCGTTGTGTCTGGATGTGTTTTTAACAAAGTTGAACTGAAAAATGCTTCTGTGCTGTGAATATGCTTTGACCTTTGAACTGTTCTCAACTGCTTGCTCTCTCTCTCTCTCTCTTCGTTGAGCTGTGGTTCTTGCATTCGGACCTTTAACTCGTTTTCTCTTGCAACATTCGGTACAATCTGTTTTCACACTGTTAGATGACATTCTGTGTTTGGAGACATTCTTGTATTGTTATTGTTTGTACGACAGAAATCTATAAAAAGAAGCTTGTCTTTTGAAACACTGACAAACAATAAAACAGACAAAGTCTTGAGCTGGTATGTCTGCTCTGCTCTTTCTCTCTTGCGACACGCTCTGCATCAGTCTGAGATTCCTTACCAACAGCTGTGTGTGTTTAAGGAATTTCGAAGGCTTTTGCAGACCGTGAAGTGTGGGGGTGAGGGTTTTTTTTCACCCATAATGCAGTTTTCCCATATAAGAGATGATTTCTGTGTTTATTGTAATTTATATTGTGATGGCAACATTGTCTTACTAGGTATTATTCCTCTTTTAGAACCCAGTATACCTGCGAGTCCATTGAGGGTAAAGCGCAAGAGTTCACGAGTGAGTGATGTTACAGACTGTTCACTACTGGGTTCGGGTCTTTCACTTGTAATGGTGGTTACTTTACGGGTCTCTTACTTTAAAAGGTGACTGTGCTTATACTTGTGTGCTAATAAGTGATTGACTCAATAAATCTTGAAAAATGCTGCTCATCAATAAGGCCTCAGAGGAAACCTTATTTTTTCTCACTTTTTCTCTTCACAAAATCACATTGGGTAGTTGACAAATTTCCTATAATTTTTCAACAACTTTAGTTTCAAATTTACACTTTATATGCGTTTATACACCATCTATCAAACATTTGGGGTAGGTAATATTTTTAAAAACATTTTTGAAAGAAATCTCTTATGCTCACCAAGGCTGCACTTATTTATCAAAAATACTGTAATATTTTGAAATATAAAATTTTTGTGATGGCATTACTCCAGTCTTCAGAGTCACATGATCCTTCAGAATCATTATAATGTGCTGATTTGCTGCTCAAGAAACATTTATTGTTATTATCAATGTTTAAAACTTTTTTTTCAGATTCTATGATTAACAAAGTAAAAAAAAAAAAAAAAGGATTTATTTGATAGAATTTGAAAACTTTAGATGCAAATTTAATGCATCAAGTATTAATTAATTGCAAGTATTAATTTATTTAAAAACATTACTGTCCCCAAACTGTTGCATGGTTCTGTATGTATATTCTATATTACACACATTGCACTTATGACTAATAATAATTAGTAAGTTAAATTGTATATTTTAAATTCTGTTACTGGACACTATTTCTTTTCAAATGTTTACTTTAAATATAAATATTCCATATAGTCTCATAATATAAGGATTTATAAAAAAAAATTTTTAAATAGTTTAAAATAGTTTTAGATTAAGTATGATATGTCACATGGCAAAACTACTGTCACTTCTCAACATCTCATGTCAACTGCCCAATTACTGATTTTTTTTATTATTATGGGGAAGTTTTGCAGTGTGCTGGGGATATCATATGAAATTATATTACACTACATTACAATATATTCTATTATTTCAATAATAATAAGTCACGTCCTGGTGTTCCTGCAGGGCAATAGCAACAGAACAGGAACTTGACTGGTGAATACTTGAAGTCTGCTAACTTGTTTCACTTTGCAGGCGTCACCACGTGCACTGTCATCTTTCGGGAGTTTCCGCACATGGCTTTACACGCCTCCAAAACACGAACCAGCTGTCCTGCTTAAACCAGACGCCCTCAGAGACTCTAGCAGGACATGAAGGACTGTGATGAAGATTCTATTCATCTCAAAGAATAATATATGACAATATTTAAAGAAGAACTTGGGGATGGTGTTCGGTTTTAACAACATGGATTGATTGGTTTTTAGATTTGGTCCTTTCCTAAGCCTAAGTTTTTATAGTTCTTTTATGTTATTTTAAAAGTTGTCATCCCTTGTGTGATCTGGGCAGAGTTAAGCAGCTTTGATTCCCAGGGTTTGGTTTCCAGGATTTGCTTCCCATAATTAAAGAGAGATTTATTCAGAATTCTTGATCTGTGAATTTTAACTATGTGAATAAAAAGTCTAATTCACATGGCACCATTCTGTAATTCATCTATGAGGACAGTGACATCTAGTGAGCTTAAGATACACAGGACTGGATCAAATAGTTCAATAATTATGTTCTTGAAGGATAACTTAGATTTTGATATCAACAATTTGAATATACACTGGCAGTGATTTTGGTTTTAGAAATATTACTTTCTGCAACAACTTTGCGACTTCAACCATCAAGATTTGAGAAAACATCCAAAATAATGTTCAAGGAAGAATTTGAATTTTTGATTATCAATTTTTAGAATTTGACCATCTAATTTTTTCAACTTTATTCAAAAGTTCAATTTTTGGACCTTTCAATGGCCTAATTTTAAAGACCCCATTCAATGGCTTGAGCCATTTCATTTTCTTTCCCATGTTGTGGTAAGTTGGGGCAGGACATTTTGCTTATATAGCAAATGCTGTCTTGTTTTATAATAGGTAGAGACCCCTCATTTGAGATTTTGCTTCCTAAAATGATGGTTGGTTTATCCTAGAAAATTACCGGTTATTGTCAGAAGGGTTTTTGAAAGGCTTTTGGCATTAGACAAACCTGAACCTGCTTTCAGTCAATTCTGAAAAGTCCTGCAGTCACAAGTTAACGTAGT